AAAAAAAAAAAAAAAAAAAAAAAATTGACTAGGATGGTGGTTCACGTCTGGATTTAGGGAGTTGAAGGCCACACCAAGGAAACTGGTCCAAGCCCCCTAAACCAGATCTGTAGAAAGACCCCGCTGGACAGAGGATACCACAGACACAGGCAGAGGCCCTGGGCATGGAGGCGAGACAGACATTGGAATGAGGAGAGAAATGGAGTCAGGAGGCTGGGCAGGGTGGGACCCAGGCCCCCTTATGTCCAACTCCCCCTTGCCCATTTCTATGAGGTCCCTAGAGTAGTCGAATCCATAGAGACGGAAAGACCCCAGCCCCACCTTGATCTTGGAGCCGGCGGTGCTGGGGCGGCCCTTCTTGTCGATATCCAGCTTCTCGGGAAAGAGCATCCGGAGGAAGGCCCTGGGCAGGGGAGAGGGGGGGTTGGAGATGCAACTGGACCCCATGGCGCCCACCCCCAGAAGTGGGGCTGCCTCAGTGCCACGGTGCAAAGTATGATTCTCCCTGAATGTGGGGGCGCTGTGAAGGGTGAGATGGGAGGGCTGGTTTTGTCCTTTTCATTCCTCGATTTATATACACTTTTTACATCTTCCTCCATGATCGTGCATAACTTGGGTAACAAGTTAAATAGAATCAAGTTAAGTACTAAAATACATCAATTGATATAGCATTCCTTTTTTTTTTTATTTGTTGGTGGCTGGTCGGTACAGGGATCTGAACCCGTGGCCTTGGTATTACCAGCACCACACTCTCCCAAGTGAGCGAACTGGCCAGCCCTGTTGCAGCATTTAGGGTAACATTAAATAGAATCAAGTTAAGTACTAAAATACATCAATTGATATAGCATTCCTTTTTTTTTTTTTATTTGTTGGTGGCTGGTCGGTACAGGGATCTGAACCCGTGGCCTTGGTGTTACCAGCACCACACTCTCCCAAGTGAGCGAACTGGCCAGCCCTGTTGCAGCATTTAGGGTAACAGGGGTAGGTCCCTTTATAGGAACTACCCTACATGTACGTGCTTGCCTGTGTGTGCAAAGAAATACATATAAAGATGCTTGCTGCGGTAGCCCTGTTTGGGCTAGCAAGGATGGGAAACAACCTAAGTGTCCATAGATGGGGGACTGGTGAAATGACTTTTGGTTCATTCACGGCTTCCTCCCACATCGGCTCAATAAGACTTTCTCTGAGCCCCCTAATAGAAAATGAGTGGACGGCTTAATGGAAATGGGATTTCCACTTGGCGTGATGAAGACCTTCTGAAACTAGATAGTAGTGACGGCTGCACAACACTGTGTGTAAATGTATTTGATGACACTGAACTGTACACTTTAAAATGGTTAAAAAGATAAATTTCATGCGATGTGTACTTTACCATAATTAAAAGAAATTTAAAAAGAAAGAATCAATGAATGCCTTCCTCGCTCTCTAGCCTTCTACCTATTTAGTTTTTCTATAAATTTTTCCTGGTGGTTCTCAGACTTAAGCAGGTGACAGAATCACCAGGAGAGCTTGTAAAACACACATTGCTGGGTCCCACCACTCGAGTTTCTCATGCACAGGTCTGGGCTGGGGTCTGATAATGTCTAACAAGTTCCCAGGTGATATTGACGCTGGTGGTCCAGAGACCCCACTTTGAGAACCACGCTCTAGTTCTGTGCCTTCCGATATGGTGGCCACTGGTCACATGTGACTACTGAAGCCTTAGAAATGTGGCCTGTCCCAAGTGAGAGGTGCTGGGAGTGTTCAAATTCACACTGAATTCCAAAAACTGTATAGTGGGGCTGGCCGGTTAGCTCACTTGGTTAGAGCATGGTGCTGGTAACACCAAAGTCAAGGGTTGAGATCCCCATAGCTGCCAGCTGCTAAAAAACCCCAAAACAAATAACCCCCCCCAACACACTATATAGTATGGAACAAGAGAATGTAAAACATTTCATCAATTTTTACATTGATTGAATATTCAAATGATAATATTTCGGGTTTGTGTAGTTAAATAAAACATTTAAAATTGTACCTGTTTTATCTGTTTGCTTTTTAAGTGTATGTACTAGAAAAATTTTAAACTACGCAGGTGGTGGTAAGGGGGATGGATTGCAAATTGTCACAAGAGATCTTTTTGGAGTGGTGCAAATGTCCTGAAGTTGGATTGTGGTGATGGCTGCACAATTCTATATATTTTAAAAAATCATTGAATTCTACACTTCTTAAAATGGATGAACTTAATGGTATGTAAATTATACTTCAATAAGGCTGTTTTAGGGACACAAAGAATAATTACAATTTGTAATGATGAACATGCTAATAATATTGATTTGATCGTCAAATACTGTACACAAATACTGATAGTCAACTCTGTACCCCATAAATATGTATCATCAAAAATAAATAAATTTAAATACTAAATAAATTAATAAAATAATGACATATGTACAGCACATAAAAGAAGACTTCTTACACCTTACACATACTCGTCTTAAACAGTGTGTAGAGTTTTTTTTTTTTTTTTTAAACACACTTTTGACTATCTTAAATTAAAAATATTGCATATTTTCATTTTGGTCTCTCTAGGCCAGATTTTTATATTCATTTTCAATAAATGTCTATATTATTTCGTTACAGAGTCCACGAGCTTAATACTGATGCTGACTTTATACAGCACCTTTCTAGTACCACACACACTATTTAGAAAACCTTTAAGCCTGACTCGTGACAAATGCTTGTGAAATGTATAATTACACCTTAGATATTAAAGAATGGTCTGCTAAGAGTGAGCAGAGGCAACAGATAAATATTTTTGGTTCTTTGCACTGGTGAGATCCTATATAATGAATTTTGAAAACATTCTGCTTTCTGAGCATTCAGTATCACCAGATAGCAGTTGAGGATTGGTAGTAACTAAAGCATGCTGTTGTGTGTCTGTCCAGAGATCACTACTTCTATCTTTTATTTTCCTGGTTCAATGTACTTTTTTAAGGGGTTGGGAATTGAAGATTTTCTCAAAAGCTTTCAAGATTTAGAGCATTCCAGCCAATAACATAAAATCTGTTAAGATTGTAAAAAAAAAAAATGACATATATAACTTGCATGATATTGGATATAGAATATATTGGACAGCACTGATCAAAATCAGTGCTTCTCAAATCCCATGTGTACGTGGATCCCCAGGAGGCCTGGGGTGATCTTGTTAAAATGCAGATTCTGATTCAAGTGGTCTGGGGTGGAGCCTGAGATTTTGCATTTGTAAGGAGCTCAGAGGATGCCCATGTCGCTGGTCCGGGAAACACACTTAAGGACCACTGTCCTGTTATTTACACCTGATGCTACATTCTTCTTCTTCTTTTTTTTTTTTTAAAGATGACTGGTAAGGGGATCTTAACCCTCGATTTGGTGTTGTCAGCACCACGCTCTCCCAAGTGAGCTAACCGGCCATCCCTATATAGGATCCGAACCTGTGGCCTTGGTGTTATCAGCACCACACTCTCCTGTGTGAGCCACGGGCTGGCCCCCGATGCTATATTCTAATTGTCTTTGTTTTCTAATTTAATTTCTGTCTCTTGGCTGTGAGTTCAATGAGAGCAGTCGTGCTCTCTGACTGTCCATTCCTCCATCCTCCAGAGATTCAAATGGTGCCCCAGCGTAAATAATATTTTGAGGTACAAAAAGCTAAATGATGGAAACTAGACGTAGCTGTGGTCAGGGAGGTGACTCCAGTTCATACAGAGATATGCAAAGCATGATGTGCTTTCACTGTGTAAAAAGGGAAACTGTCCACACAATGGATGCTTGGGTTTGCAGAGAGCAGCTTTGGACAGGACATAAGAAACTGGTCTCAGGGGTTTTCTCTGGGGAGGGGACCTGGGGGGCCTGGAGGACAGCACTTACTTCTCCTTGTGTACCTTGAGTTTTTATATCAGAACAAGTCAATAGAAACACTGTCTGACTGCACAGCCACTTTCACAAAGTCCATGGTGTGATGGGAGCCCTGGAGAAGATGGGGTGGTCCCTGATCCTCCGCCCATCCCCTTAGGGGCGTCTGCCTGGAGGCCCCATGCCCATGGGGGCTACTCACTGCTCACTGGTCTGCATCAGCTCTATGAGGTCGGAGAAGAGAACGTCTCTGTTCCTCTCACAGAAGCCGCTGACGTCGTAGGAGACCTGGAGGCAGGTGGTGTTGGGGGAGTGAGGGGCTGAGACGTGAGTGGGTGTATTTACCCCAGTTGGTCAGGGGTCCCGTGAGGCCTCCTCTGGCTCAGAGGATCAGGGGGTACCTACAGCTCCAGTTGGGGAAGGGGAATCTATGGTTCAGAATAGGGGGTAGAGGGCTGTAGCCTGGATCCCAGCTCCCATGTTTTAGTTGAGGTTGGAGGGTGGGGCCTGCAGCTTGGGTCAGAGGTGAGGGAGGGTGGGGGCTGCAGCCCAGATCAGAGTGTGGGAGGCTGCAGTCTGGGCAGGGGGTCCCTGCTACTTACATGGAGTCAGAAGGTTAGATTGGGTGGGTATCTGTGTCCTGGTCAATTTAGGAGCTGGGGGGCTGATGGGGAGGTTAGAGCCCTGGCTGGGGATTCCTGGAGGCGGGGCGGGCTTCAGCCAGAATTGAGGGCTGGGTCTGCTGCCTAACGTCGGGGGCTCTATGTAGTCCTGGTCAGGGCTTTTGCAGCCCCAGCTGAGGGAACACAGGCGCTCTAGGCCATTTTAGGGATGGGTGGGCTGCACCACAGGTAGGAATCTGCTGCTCCTGTTGAGGTCACGGAGGCATGAAGGGAGAATCTACAGCGCTGTGAATTGGGGAGGAGACTGTGGCCAGGCTTGGAGGCCAGAGGATTTCTATAGCCTTGGGTAGGGTTTGTAGAGGGCTCCAGCAATTTTTGGCTTACAGCATGCACCTGGGGCCTTGGGGATTTGCTCTTTGCGGGGGTGGGGGGTGGCTGGCCAGTATGGGGATCCAGACCCATGACCTTGGTGTTGTAAGGCTGCTCTCTAACCAGCTGAGCTAACGGGATCAGAAGGGAAGGGGTTCAGTTTGCAGCTCATATTGGGGTTTGGGGGGTTTGCAGGCATAGGTGAGGGCCCTGTCAGGTCTGTTGTCCAAGTAAGGGGTCAATGGAGGGTGGTCTGTCCTATTAGGGGGAGCTGCCCGTTGAATAGGGGAAGCTGTGGCTGGTGGGTTTCTGCAGCCCTGGCTGGGGGGGCCTGGCAGGCTCCTTCCAGGGTGGGTGTGGGGGGCTGCAGCCTGGAGCCCCCCGGGGTCTGCGAGGGGGTGCCCCGGCACGGGGGGTG